GGTTTGTGGAATTTAGCTAACTAAGCAGGAGTGACGGATGGTTGTGTTTGTAACCTGCAAAGGCAGGCCCGTTCACATCTGGAGCACCCAAAGGTGAGGAGTAAGTCATCGCAGGGCAGCAATGCAGCCAGGCGAGTCTTTCGGGACGTCCTGGCTTCCCGTCCGAGTTCTTCTGGGTCCGGTGGATGGAATTGTTAGTTGGGACGGAAGGGTGAACGGGGCCTTGTGAGGGTGTCGATGCGTATAGTAAATCCCTCGCGGCCGCGTCAGCCTTCTCGTTTCGTGGCATATCGCCATGGCCAAGGATTTATGTGAATTTGACCTGATTTCCATGGGCCAAAAGGGTCTTAGCGAGAGCCTTGATTTCATGAACGACGCGATTGACCAGTCGCAATTGGTAGGCGTGGAAGCCAGCGAAGACCGCTGGCTTCCACGCCCACAAACTCCGCCACCTTGCGCAAGCTTTCGATTGGATGTTTACACATGTCCTCCTAACAAAGCAGTAGGAAAGTGAGCGATTGCAACTGGTCAATCACTCACATTCCCATATCCCCTCCTTGGAGTCGGTAAAAACGGGGGCTTCTTTGCCGCGATAATTTATATTAGAATTTAATGCATCGCAGATGGTCAAGGGCCCTGCAGTCTTGGGGCTGGGAGTCAGGGGCATCATTTGGTTCTTTCAGGGTGTCTAGCAAATTATTATTTTAAATTCCCAGACTTTTTAAGGTTTCCCGACATTTTTAGGTGAAATTCCCTGACCGCTGTAGAGGCGGCTAAATATATAGACCTTTCATTTTAGTAGTTGCCTCACCGGTGGATAGAGGGCGCTGATGCACTCGGCGCCATTAGGTTGCTTCGATTTGGTTGGTTTCGGTTTCAACGTGCATGCGGCTATGTTGGTATTTAGCGTGGTTTTTGCTTGATTTTGTGATACAATTAATTTAATTGAAGCACACAACCAATGAAACTGGTATGAGTCACTTCGAGGACTACTAGGTGTTTTTTAGCCCAAAGTGTGGGCTTTTTTTACCAACTGCTTTGATGTATCTGATTATGGTCGGCTGCGAAGCGCCTGACTGATGTACAGGGAGGATTACCAGCGTCTACGGCCGTGCCCGATAACACTAGTTTCCAGAAAAGACAACTAATGAAGAGACTAACACGTGAATGTAACCAAGCATGTCGACAGCTTGATTAGCCATGTGCTGAATCGGGGCAGAACAGATGAACCCGCCAGTTTACTACTCACTGTTTGGTTTTCGTGGACACCCAACCTTTAGTGAACCTCGCAGACAAAAAAAGTATCATGAAATGACGCAGACCATTTATATAAACAAATAGTATCGTCTCGGCCTCTTTTTTTTTTTATTTTTTAGTACAGTACTTGAGCATATTTTGACAGGCCGAGTAGGAAATTTCTTAAATTATCAACCGTGCTAAAGTACTTATAAGCAGCATTTCGCGATATTGGCCCTAGGAAGTAAATTATTTTTATATGAACATTTGTTTACTCAAGATATGATAAAGGTGAGAGACCTGTCAAATTAAATCTGGCATTAAAAGGTGCAGGAGAAATACCTTGGAAATTTTGGCTGAATACTAGCGCTGTGCACTACTTCACGGACCTGTGTAAGCAAATATTTATTTGTTTGAACAGATTCGGTTTGTAAATTTCGGCGTCGCCAGCCACTAAAAGTAAACCTTTATTTGCCATCGACAATTCTGGACTAGGGTGATTGTTATGCAAACGGCTTTTTTTCGGCGTCAAATATTGCAGACCCCAGATACCGGCAAAAAATAAAACTACGTACGCAAAAAAAAAAAAAGTGTTTTCATTATTGCGCATGCGCAGAGCCCAAACCGTGTCTTGGATAATAGAAACAATGTTATTTCTTTGTGTACGCTATTCTGAAACTTGCTACTGTTAAGCTGTCTGTGGTAGTTTCTTACGCGAGAAGTTCCAGCTATAATAATAATAATAATAATAATAATATTTATTTTGGTTCAGGAGAACCGCGGTGCCGCAGAAAGGCAAGTAGCCCATACCAGGAAGGCCTGCGGCGCCACATCTAAGGACGATGGGATGATATTGTGTACAGATGACAGATGTGTTAAAATAGATTAAGTGGACTGAACTGGTTATCTAAAGATAACCAATAAATCACTTAAATGACCGTCGAAATAGGAATGAGCACGGTGTACTATTTCTTAAACTTCATAGTTAAACCGGCCAACCGAATGTTTACAACGCCAAAAAAAAAAAAAAAGATTGAGAACTGCATACACACATAGGTGTGATATTATGAAGGAACAAATTGCCCGATGTATACATATCATTATTCCTAGCCTCAGATAAAATGCAAGTTAAATGCTCGTTGTCTATCTCCTCCGCGAGTTTCCCCACATAATCAAAAGAAACTGTTTTCGATATATTACGAATACAAAGGACGATACTTTCAGGATATACAGATAGTCTTCTTGTGCTGACTATTCTTGACGCCTTCGGAAATATATGTGCTTCTTATTGTGAATGTTGCGCCGCTATTAGTAAACAGACCTCAGACCTTTGAACCCTCGTGATGTCTTAGTCGTCAAGTAGAAATATCGGACTGCAGTTTCCGAAGTAAGGGAAGAAAGCACAGTGAAACGCAACAAGCCGCGGAGGGGAGAGTGGAGCAACAAGTTGAAGCAACCTAATGGGTGCCGCGTCACGTGATTCCAAGATGACGGCGCCCATGCGACGGAGGATGAATTGGTCTATAAGACCATTAAAACATAAGGCATTGAGCATCAAGCAGTGTGAGGATCATTCCGCATGGGCTGAATCCAACTTGCATTTTCCGAAATATTCGGACTTTTTCAGTCTGGATTAAATGAGCGCTTTCTTGCCGCCGACATCGTCAGTGAGGCCACTTCTGCCAGATGCACACTTTTGGATACTTTTGCTTAAGGCTTGGATTGGATTGGCGTCTGTGGCTTCCCCATTTGTCACTAAATCTAGTAGTACAGTGTGTTCTAGTAGCTCTAACTGAATCTAGCCTATTGTCGCACCCTCAATCCAATTCAATCCAAGGTTTGGACTGAATTTGTCGGCTGTTCCCTTTGCATCGGGTAGCACACTCTACATTGGATGAGCAGAGCCCACGCTCCGTTCTAAGCAGAATTTGTCGCAAATTTTTCTGTCCCGAAGTCCTCAATACTTTGCTCAGGGTAGTCTATGGCATTTCCGGCTCATTTTCCCCGACTGGGTTCGCTTTTTGACAATATCCCTGACAATTCCCCGATTTTTCCCAGTAATTAAACTTTCCCTGACAATTTCCGGTTTTCCCGGTCGCTAGACACCCTGTCTCTGTTCAATCTTCTCTAAGTGAATCAAATGCAATGGCACTGACCCTGAAGGGCTCAGTGTGGCCTCTGTGTACAGGATGAGATTTTGGGGATCCTCCTCCAAGGAAGCCAAGTCTTGAGGTGTATTTTTGCTGCGCATTGTCGACGTTGAGGGTGGTCTTAGCTCTGAATTTTTAAGGTGGGTTTGAAAATTTTAACGGGGGTGTCCTCCCACAGCAGAGGCGAATGTGCTGCTTAACACTACTAGTGCCATATAGGAACAGTAACAACTGATGGGTACTCCACAACTCACTTTCCCCTTTTATTCAGGTTCGAATGTTGCACCTCCTCTCCCATTAGGAAGTTTTTGTAAATATCTTTTTGAATACTTCGCTACGCTCCCCACAACAAAGACGCCGCGCTAATGCACAAGTGCGCCGCTGGCCTCAACTGCAGAGTTCCCGGATCTCGTAGCGGGTTGCGGAGAATGTTGCGAGAGAGCGGAAACTATCTACGAAAGCTACCTATGTATTTATCCTCCTCTCCAGCGCCTGGGAGTGTGTTTCAATGGCCAACGCATTATATTATTTTGTATTTCTTGTCACAGGAAAATTCTTATATTTTACCAGCGACCTGTATGTGTTTGTTATGTATTTTTATTTCATCCTGTAAGAACCCTGTGTGGGTTGACAGTATTAATAAATGAAATGAATGAAATGCTACAGCATTGCAATCCTGATGCAGTTTTACACCTTGAAGCTGAATGGTATTTAGACGACAAAAATGCCGGCACCACACAGATAGCTTTGGTATTTCTGTAAACACATAGGCTCAGTCAGAAAAACAAGCGGCTGCTGTCACATGACTTTAGCCAACCAATCAAAAACCATGGCAACATTTTTTTTTTTTTTTTTTTTTTAAGGCTACTTTTTTTAGGATTGTGTCCGTCCGCACAGAAATGTCGACACAACACTCGGGTTGTCGCCGTCACTCAGAGATGGCGGTAGTAGTCCAGAGTTGTGTTTGCTGGTTGTCTGCTTGCCGCCGTCGCTCATAGATCGCGGCAGACTTTCGAGCCTTTTCACTCTGGCTTGCCGACTTGCGGCCGGCCAATACTTCATTCCCAACGTAGTACAGCCCTTCGCGGGTCTTCTTTCTTCACCAGAATGGAAAGGCTGGAAGTTTTTTCCCTGACTTTTTTTGACAGCTATTACTTTCGAGAAGCGAAATCATTGCACACGCCGCAGAAAGTTTAAGCACTGGTTCTAAATACAATATGCAAGGTTCAATAAAATAATAATAATAATAATAAAATAAAAATCCGCCTTAGTGCACGCGGGTAGTTCCTTTACCAGCAACACAGCAATCCATTAAAAACGAAAGTGAACATTTCGCTGTCCAAAAACTCTACGCGATCCCCCAAAGAAACTCAACCGCACCTAACCAAACTAGGAAAAAAAAATTTTTTTTTTCGACGCGTTTTATTATCCAACCGTCATGTCAACCACGTCGCGACACCGCCGGCAGCACCAGGTTGGGCGCCACCGCTGCGGCCAGACCTCGTTGCACGTCATTTGCTGACTCAAATGTACGTTAGCCAGTCTCGCGTAAAACTAATAGCGGAGAGCGCAGGAGCTCTGAAGTGAACGTAAGCTGCATAAATGTCGGCTTACCTCAATCTGCTTGATGATCTTCGCGTCGAGGGGTGAGACGCTGCTGGAAACGTCCTGTTGCTCGTCTTCATTTGTCATTGTCAACGTTCAGACTTTGTCTAGCGCACAAATGAGAATTAACGATGTGGATATGAGAATATTTCGAATTAGCGTTTCGCAATTAACTTATAATGTAGGCAGACAGTACAGACTAGCGCAAAACCCCCGGGTACAACCACGTGCATCAAGCAAGCGACAAATTCGCCGAAGCCACTGGACTGGTCAAAGCCAACGAACTCGAAGCCAACGTTGGTCAAAGTCAAAGCCGTCAAAGCAAAGAGGACGAGCATGAACGGGTGGATAGCAGTTGCAAAGCCTTTGGCAGTTGTATGAATGATAACTTGCGTCACCTAGCCTGATGTTTTTTGTGAAAAATATTTTAAACTTGCCTTGAATTTTGCGCCACTTTCCCAATTCAAAAACAGTTTTGGTTTTAACTTTAAACAGTTATTGTATGAATAATAATATTACAATGGAATTAAACGTTTCGGCTTTGGTTTTTCGTTTTTGTCGTTTAATATAACCCGCGAGGAGGCTTTACGGCGTATTTGAAAATTGGCGGAACCCAGGGGCCCTAAACTCGCCAGACACAAAATTGGAGCCGAAAGGCCGAAAGCTCGCGGAGCGCGCCCATTGGACGCTGGCGACAAAAGCGCGAAGTCATCGTCGTGATAGTCCAATCGGTGCGCTCCGTGAATTTCGGCCCCAACTTTGTGCTTGACGAGTTGAGAGCCTCAACAGTAGCGTGATACGGTTATGACGTTGACATTTTTTGGCAGTTTCTCTGAAAAATAAAGGTAAAATCCTTTGACTACAGCCCCGAGACTGGGATGAGAAGAAACAGAGAAACACAAAGTCTCAAAACTTTCTGTTTCTCCGTCCCTTCTCGTCCCAGTCTCGGGGTTTTTTGGTCAAATGTTTAACCAACACAAACTCGTTTGAGTCCTGACCTTTTGTTCAGTAAAATCATCGTTTTCTTTTCATTTTGTCTGCGTGTTTTTTTTTTTTTTTTTTGTTTGCAAACCATAAGTGTTTCCGAAGCCTCTAAACCAATCTTATTTGCATTGTTTGTATACTGAAGCAGTGATACGCGAGAACGGAGCAAGTTGTCTGCTTCTTGCGCGCGAGCAGCTTGCTCAGTGGCTCAGTTACGAAAACTGCTCATAGACGCTGCATGCACGGGCAGTAACCCCACTCCTCACTCACCACGACTCGCCTCCCGTCGTTCGACTCGCCGGATGGCCTCTATGGTAACTACATTGTATTCTATGGAGTACGTACGTTTCGAAGCACAGCGTCTAGATGGCGTTCCAACTCTGCTCTATAAAACACACAGTTAGGAAATGAAAATCTAGACTGCGTTTCAAACAATGGGAGGCGGACTGAAGTGAGTGAGGGGGGGGGGGGGGGGGGGTACCCCCTTCCGCGGGAGTTCCACAACCACAGATCAGTGTCCACAACTGAGCAGGAGTTGCGGTGACATCAGACTGATGCCGAGCTCTGATTGGCTTCGATTGAAAGGATAGTGGGTAAACCTCGATGCTAGATACCTTGAGGTCTACCCACTGTTCTGTTCAATTAGTAACAAGAGCTCGGCGTTCTGACATACTCGCAACCCCTCAGCAAGAAGCAGGCGAACTTACGCTCTGCATAGCAGACGACAGATGCACAACAGAGAAACCAAAACCGAAACTATCCGTTGACAGTCTTCTGTTCCGAGAGTGTAGCCAATATTTCCTTGAACACTAGATTTTATCTAAATTTTTTCAATTTAAAAAAAACGTAAGGACAAGTAATAAAAAAAGCACAAATATACTCAAAGTTTAGAATTGTCTTAAAGTTTGAAAGGTTAGTTGATTCTATGGCCGCAAGATGTGCTTAAGTTCCGTTGGTCGAATCCAAACTTTTTTTTTTATTTTGTCTTTTATTTTACTTTTGTCGATTTAACGATTTGCCTGGTTCACATTTTTTGCTGGACGTTTGGAGCAGTGCAAAGGAGGCGCTGGAAATGCTGGGCGGCTGGGTGTGCGCTTCGCGTTGACGCTGACGCCGTCGACGCTGTTCAGGTGGTCCTGGGCAGGGGCAGCCGTTGCGTGGGCGGTGTGGTGCGCTCGCGCTTGGTTCCGGTATGGGCCATCCCTATCCTAGCATCCCCGGTCGGAACTATGATTAGGCCAGCGTAGCTCGGGGAAGACTCCTTGAAGCGCAACGACGTGCACCATCTCAAGCCGACGATGGAGATCCTCATGACGGCCGAGTATTACGTGATCGTCGACGGCGAGCACACGCTGTGGTGCAGCCGAATCGACGGCACGCTGGAGCCCGGAAAGCGTGAGTGCCTGTCCATTTGTGTGTGGCCTCCGTGGAGCCCTGTGCGCCTTGCATTCAGTCATTGCCAGGCGCCGGACCCGTGACGGGCACAGTTGCACCGGTTTGAAGCGCGACCTGCGAGGCGGGTTCAACAGTCGGGCCTGCTTGTGTCGCCGTCTCTTTTCTGCATGTGTTTCGAGGCGAGGACGGCTGGCCGTAAGATTGGCGGGCGTGAGCTCGGTTTTGGGGGGCCACCCTTGGACATCGCGTGTGGTAGCGAGGTATCGATCGGAACGCGAGGGGTGTAGCAATCGGTCCATTTTGGTGGCCGCCTCCACGTCCACTTGCGCCATTCGATGCCGTCTCGGGGCAGAGCGACGTGCGGTCGGCACGCCGACCCTCCCCTCGGCACTTCCGTCTCTGCGGGGCACTAGCGGAAAGTTTGTTTCCCGAAATGTCGATCGCGACCTTTCGGGCCCGGAGCGACGCGGAAATGCCTGCAGCCTCGCGAGGGCAGCGAACATTTTGCGGTTTCAGCTAAAGCAGCGCTTCGCCGTGGTCTGTATGGACTAGTCGCGGCACCCTGGTCAGCCGCGCACCGCTCGACAACGGTCCCTCTCTTGTGTTCCTGCAGTGTCCGATCTTCACAAGCTCACGGACCCCATCTGCCTGGGCATCATCTACGGGGTGATTGGAAAGTTTCAGCCGCACCCAGGTAGATGCTGCTACAGATTGACAACTTTCACTGTGCATTAGTAATGATCATCACTCATTGCGTTGGCCACTTTCTGTATTTTTATTTATTTGGTTTTATTTGTTATTTTTTGTGCAAAATTTTGTGTAAATTAAGTTTTAAATGTAGTAGTGAACCCTAGCAGTGAATTTTACCTTGTTAAATTTCAATACGTAGCTCCCTTTCTGTGAAAAAAGTGACCAACAAACTTGCCAGGGTAAATAATGGACGTCGATACAGGTGACCAAGTAAGTGAGAATTTGGCCTGTGGTGCCTCCTCAGGATGCAGCGAACAGACGACCAGGTGGTCTGCTAGCAACCGAGTGGATCGTCTGCTCACAGTTGGTCATAAGCGACAAAGCCTTTTCTAAATTTGTGTTTAAATTGTACCAGTATGTTGTTTACACATACACATTTGCTGATAGCATTACCGATAATATGCTCCGATACAGGGGTGCACAACTTAAAAAATGTCACGAGCCAAAAAAAAATGTTTATTGGGAACTGCGTGGGTTTTCAATATCTGGCCTCATCGCACATGTTGCCGTCTTGAGCACATCTCGCAATGTCACGTCCGCGGGCCGCATGCGGCCCGCGGGTTGCATGTTGTGCACTCCTGCTCTACTAGCTTGCAACTTGTATGTTAAGGAGATGGGTCGGTATTTGCTCGGTGATAAAGGGTCCTCTTTCTTAAAAATGGGACCAACTGGTGTCGTAAGCCAGTCATTGGTGGAGGAAAACGAAACATGAGAGATTACAGTCAAAAGCTTTGCCAAAATTTTGGTGTACCAACGCGAAAAGACATTCAGTATGGAATCTGCGGGGTGTCCCCTGAAAGATTTACCTACACATTTTTTTTCACTGCAAAAATAAGGGACTTGCCACCGAACGCTCCGCCTCCACCCAAATGTAGCGCTAGTGGTCTGAACCAGATGCCAAAGTTCCAGAACTAATCGTTATCTTATTCACAAGTTATAACTGATTTTCTGAAATTTTCAATGGGAAAATGGAGGCCAACAAAACCCCTGTATATGTGGAGCCAAATGGCTCCAGTTACCGAAAACGAGCCCCATTTTCCTACTGAAATTTTCAGAAAATGAGTGAAGACTTTTGAATGAGATGAAGGTTTGTTCTGAAACTTCGGCATCTGTTTCGAACTGCTAGCGCTACAGTTGGGCACGGAATGTGCACTCGGCAAAGCGCAGTTTATTTTTGCAGTGGAATAAAAAATACTTTTTTGGGGGGGGGGGGGGGGCAGACACACTGTAGATTGCACAAGGTTTTCATTTTTATGTTTAGCAACATTGAAAAGAGGCCTCGGATAACGTATAAATGCCACATAGAGGCATCAAGGATCGTTTCATTTTGTCTGGCAGGATTTCACTTTTCGTCCTTGTGCAATGAACAAACTGATGGTGGTTTAATGTCCTTTATTAGGGACAGCTGGTTGTCTACTCAATTAAAAGTATTCTGCAGCCATGCACATGTTTCAAGTCATTTCAATTTCTATATAGGATGTGTCATCTGTGCTATGCAGACTACTTAATGCAGGTCTGTACCCTGTTGGCACTAAAGTTTGGTTAGGACGTGCATATGTCACAAAATAAACTTTCAAAATAGAAGCATGTTTTGGGATTGCTCAAGTTGCGTTTTTGATTAGAGGACACTTCCGGAGAGGCAACACCTGCGGATGTCGCTTCTGTGGAAGTTGCTTCTCAGCACTGCACCGGTGCTCGGTAAGAAGCACGCTCAACGGGGCTATCCTGCCACATTCAACACTTTGAAAATATGAATATCGCAATCGCATGCTTAGGAGAAAAGCAAACTTTCAAAGCAGGATGGTGCATGCACGCACCTGTTGTATTTAAAAAGAAACAAAGACTTTGTGAAAGTTGATATCTGTGTTGCAGTAAAGTATTTAAAATTAAACTGGCTATTGTGCAAGAGTTTATGTTAAGCAGAGATGCCCTGACAACCTGAATTAATCATTTGCAAGTGCCTTATTTTTTAAAATAATTCAAGATAGAAGGTATATTAGCATATAGCAAGAATATTTATAAATTCCCTCGATTAGGTGTATAATTAGGGGGCCCTGCAAGGACTTTTTTACTTGTTTTTAATTTGCACCGAACCATGCATGGGTAAATAACTTTCAAAATGTAATTTAGTTACAATTACTTGGCTTCAAAAGTACTTTAATTACAATTACAAATTACTTTTAAAAAGTAATGGAATTAACAATTACTTATTGCTGAGAGCGACCCACTTGGGCCATATAACTTTAAACGAGTTGTATAGAATGCAAAATTATTTGTTCATTCCTTGCCCCAATGTCTCAGGAAGCTTAAGCATCACTGCATAAATGCCACGTATTGTACTTTCCTTCTATGAATTTTGTTAAATTCATGATGCAACTTGACAGTTTGAGTCAATGAAGTACTACGTTCTGATATTTTTTTGTAAATAATAATAAATTTGTTCGTATGCTGAAAGTCGCCAGATCGCCAAAGGAAAAAAGTGGGTGGACAGAGTTTTGTTAGCTTGGCAAATAAAAATGCGAGATTTAGTTATACATTAATATTTTAGAAGCGTTAATATAAAACTAAAATTCACAGGCGCTAATATGACTGCATTCACATACACACATCATGGTATTGTAAATTATTTACACCGAGTTGAAATTATAATGGTTCAGAAATATATAAGAACCAAATCGGGGCTTCCGAATCATTGGTAACAATATTCACAGGTGCGAGGTCAGTCTCCAAAATGCTGATACAAAAAATATACGAAGTAAAACCAACAGGAAATAAACTTGAAAATAATACGAAGATACAAATATGCAACAGTACTGAAAACAAAACGTAAAAAAACTAGCGAAAAAAAACAAAAAAACTTCAGGGACATTTAAAATTTTCTAGCTCAAATAAAAGCTAAAGCTCAATTTTTTTTTCTCAATATTTTGGCATGTTTACGCTATTTGTTTTCTGCTCGGACAGCAGACGGCGCAACACGGCGCCGTTGAGGTAGGCTCCAAAAAGGATTGTCTCTCATCCCGCAGTTAAGCAACAAAACAATAAACAATGCGACGCTATTTATGCTGTGCATGTATGTGAGTGCATGTCTGTGTGCGAGTGTTACAGCGAGAACTAGGCCGATTGTGCGAGCGCGGAGGCTTTCTGAGAGGTTCCGTCGGTGCCACAAAGTTTTGCATAAGTAATTGTAATAGTGCCTGAAATTTTGCAATTACTGACGCTAGAAAGTAATTAAATCACAATTAGACTTCCTTTTGGCCGAAATTATTAATTACAATTACAAATCATCAAGAAAAGTAATTAAATTACTGTAAGTCAATTACTGTAATTGAATTACTACTCAAGTATGCACCGAACCTGAGCACACTGAACGTAGTAACTTAATGAAACTTTTCTTTTCTCGAATTTCGCTTTATTTTAGAAGTTACTGGCATATTAAAAATTACAAAAACAAGCGAAAAATAACGTCCTTCATGACGTCCTTATTTGCTTGATTGGCCGTGAACTAGAGGAGGGGTAGTGAGCTCAGCAAGCGCTCACGGCTGCCGCACTCCATGTCGACGGCTTGAGAAGGCGCCACTAAAGTATGTGCTGGATAGGCTGTCTGAAGCGGGCAGCCAGGGCGGCTCTCATTGCATTTGCTGTGCGATTAAACGCTAATTCGGCATGACACTTCATTGGCCACAAACAACAGCAAAGACGGGGTAAAGATCAGTTCAGAACGGGAGCCACTTCGCGCTTCCATACCGCCAAACGGCCAAACCGCAAGCCAATCCGTCTCGCCGAAGACCTTCGGAACGCTCGGAGCCGATCGGATCCTCGAGCCCGTTTAGACCGCAGCACCGCCGCGTACACCCGGGACCCTTCTACTCTCGTCGCTCGTCGGCGCCTGATCCCACGACACAGTTATAGTATGCGCCGCCTTTTCCACCGCTTGGTGGCGGGTATGTCGACAAGTCATTTCTTGTTTCCGTACTTTATAAACTGCATTTGTTTCTTTTCTGATCTAAAATACTGAACAAAAACTACTTTCATACATAATTGAAACGGTTCGCGACACTTATATTTTGTATCTCGACTAAAAAAAAAAAAAAAAAAAAAAAGATTTTAGCGGTTCTGACCAGTAGTAAGCCCAGGACCAAAGACGTCGCATATCGCGCGCTTTCGGCAACGCGGGTAGCCCTTGTAGGTGGAGGAGGTTTTCGCGTCGTCCGGTTAAAATATGACGCACCGATATTTAGTTCCTCACTCCGTGCCCGCTGGCTTGCCCGAACCCCAAGAGACGTGGAAACCGCAAAAAAGGTAGACGCTTAAATATGATTGCAGGGCCCCTTTAAGTGCCTGCCAACAGCCAAGTGGCCTGGGTGGCAGTGCACTGTCCAATGAGTGAATACAGAATATAAATGCATGTTTCTAAAGTAATAAAATCACACAAAAATGTCATTGTCTAAAAGCAAGGCATTATAGGTTTGTTGCAATCGTGTCATCGGACAGATTGATTGCATATTAAGATAAAAAGTGTCTTGGCAGCTGGATGATCGCCCAGAGGGCACACGGAATCTCAAGGCCATCAACAACTCTGAACAGTCAGTAGCACCATGCACAACCTGATGTAAAAAGTGCATATTTCTAGCAATTCTATCATGCAGAGTTAATAATAATAATAATAGTGTTAATAATAATAAATATTGCATCTTTCACATTGTACATATCTGGGCATCTCTGTCGGTTTATTCTTATGTCAAACGCATCATTTACTTGCCTCCCAAATGTAGGAATCGGGCTTTTTTAGGTCAAAGTTAATAAATATAGTTGGATTAAAATTAACATAGCTTAGGAATTAACAAGTGAAAGCTTGGGAACAACCTTTACAAGTTCATTTGGGTTTTCCTTTAATAGTGGAAGGCTTGGAGAAACTATTCAAAATTGAATTTGAAAAATATTTGTCCCAAACCACTATTCGGTTTGAACTCAAAATTCACTATTCGCACATGCCTACATTTCTTTTTTAAATCCACAAACATGAGACTCATAGGGTGTGATGCTGTATTTTGTCCAGAAGACGCTGCTGGATGGGGGTTTATAGTATAAAAATAGTTAAGATCTTGCAGCAGTGAAAAATTGTGAATAAAAGGGAATTTTCCCGTTATTTTTAAACCAATTTCACGTCAAAATGAATCGTTTGCCTGATGCCATTGGTGCATTTCATTCTACAATGCAGGAAACAAGGCGAAAGTGAAAATGATTGTCTTTACTTGTTTCTCAATTGTTGCTAAATAAAATTCCCCATGACTATCCTTTCTCACCTCCACTTCGATTAATTTTAAGGCAGGCTCTACCTTAGAGGTTTCCACTACCTAGATGCCTTAGCTATGTTTTTATAAAAAAATCACCGCTGTACCTTTGGCAAGTTATTTAAAATGAGCAACTTGTGTGACTTGCAGTATTTTAGAAAAAAATAGAAGGGGGAGGTGGGGAAGGGGAGAGGGAGTGATATTAAGTGTTGCGTCGCAAAGTGAGGCTGCAAGCGACGCCTCAAAGACTGCTTGGGGACCGAACCCAGAAGCTCCATCTTCAGTATGCGCTCATTGCCACTATCATACTTTTGCTGCGTGTGCTCACGAGACGCCGAAGAGTTTTCAAAGGAGGGCACACCATGGGAGGCAAAGCCTCTGCTGCATTCTTAGATGGGAGCCCGGGATCAAGCGAAATAGGCAAAGGTAAAAGGCATCTCATTTGGTTTTATCGACAAATCTCGTAGTGCGTAGAATAACTCCTGCTGTGTGGGCGCTGATCGCTGATTTCTCAAGATTTGTTTACGATTACTTACTTTGGGGTTCGAAGGTCATGTTTACTTGGGTTCAAAGGGTGAATGTATGTTTTGTTACAGTTTCGCATGTCACTAGAATCCAGAGTCAGTAGCCACTTGTAGCACTGGACGCATCACCAGAAACATGCATGCCAGAAAGATGTAGGGACGACATAGGGATATTATCGCTCAAGGAAAGAAATTATCAGCTGGTTTTTCACCATCAGCTTCTGTTCTTAGTCCCTGTAATTAAAATAATCATGAGGACAAAGTCAGCGTAGACCCTAGCTCTCCTGAATCACATTTGGCTGCTGCAAGATCTTGAAATACTGCTACATGGAAGAAAATCCCACACCATCAAATATGCTAGCTTGAAGCAACATGTACTGTAGCTGCATGGAAGTGGAAATCGTAGCATTGGGGACTTTGCTAATTGAACAGCCGCCGCTCGTTATGTGTGGTTTCATTTTTTCCACCATTAGAGGTGCGAGAATTTTGGAAACTTTGATTGATTGGCCAATACTGTCTGCTATTCGATTCGCAGCATACTTTAATTGTTCAATGTATTTGAGTTTTCTAATATTCGAAAATCACGAATAATGTCTTCAGAATTCTCTGGTTTTTCACGTCAAGCTTTACTGCTATGCACTGGCGTGCTAGGAGAAACAACCGACATGTCAGAGCATTTTAGTTGGCCCTATGGTCTCGGAAATCTTGCTGTGTATAGAGATCAGCCTTCTTTGGTTATAATTATACCTCAACACCTGATTCTAAAGGACAGTGCCAGAAAAGAAAACCTCAAGCTATATTCAAATAAATTAAAAAGTGCGTAGAACTCGGAGGCAGTGTAGTCCTGGGCCAACCCTAAAAGGGGATACAGTCTTCATCCACTTCGTCATGTTTCACAAATAAGATTTTAATATCTGCGTCCAAATAGGACCGTGTCTGATATTAAGCTGATGAGAGGATTTGAACAATATCATGTAAATAAGGTAGTCATTGCTTTGCTTGCCATTTTACATACCCCCTCCCCCCTCCTTCTCCCTCACTACCACCACCACAACCGCCCTCCCATCTCCCAAATAGTTGCGATGCCTCTGTATCAGGGCCTCTTTTTCTTAATGCAAATGTACCAAATGTATCTCACATAAAATCAAACTGTTCCTATTCTTTCTAGAAAAGATTTTCAGCCGTGCTGTCTTAAAGTATCCATGCTCAATTCAAACTAAATTTTAGATATCGGGGATTGTAAATATTTAAATTGCATTTGCTGTTAAAGTTTATTATTCCTGTTTGTTGGCAGTTGAATATTCACACACCTCTCCCCATCGTATTAAAAGACGCAGTTCCAATTCACTGGGCCAGCCGACGCTCTTGACCTGCCGCAAGTGCCAGTTGGTCCCTGACGGACAGACGTAAATCGCTAACATTTGGCTCTAGATGTGTCTTTCTGCGTGAATACTGCTATTATGCAGTTTAAGACATACCATATTTACTGTTTAAAATAGGTCGACCTCTTTGTGAACAATGTTGGCACATGCATTTCTCTTTAACTCTCAAAAATGGCTAATCATTGCTGTGATGTACCGGTTAATTGAGGATAATGCAAGAATATATTTATTTAACTGTTTAGATGACAATCGGTTGGTGTTATGAGAAGAGTCTTGTATGGTCTGCAACCGCACCCAGTCTCATCTTTCCAGGCGTCCAAGGCTCCTCTCTCTCTGCTGGTGCCTCCGGTTGCATCGGCCCGCCGTTGCCTGGGCGCAATCGGTCGTGTTCGCTATACGTGGCGAACAGACACACAATACACGGCAATTGTGATTTACGGTAGAGGCCTGGCGAATGATGCGTCACCGATAACGTTGAAACGCAAAAAAAGATCTGTATGGGTCGCATTTTTTACCATTTTAAATGTTACCTCTGCTTTGCCATTCGTTGGCTCCTTTCATAAGTCTTAATGGGTGATTTCCGTGGGCTCTGCGGGAAAGTAGACACGCAGGTCTGTTCATTAAAAAGGTGGACCTAGTTTAGAATAAATATGGTACCCCTAGAAATTATCATATGCAGAGTGGCAGCTAGTTTAGCGTCGTCTGTGTCACTTTTTTGTACCTCAATTATACACCTGTAGAAGAAAAGGTTAATATTGATGTTAGCCTCATTGAGGCACCATTCTTTTGCACCACTTCTGTAGCCACGAGCTTGGGCGGGGGGGGGGGGGGGGACGGGACAAAGTGAATGTGATACGCTCAAGGGGTGTGGGTTGAGAGGTGCTCACAAGCTTCCTTGGTTATTTGCCCAGATTCGGACAAGCAGCTGGTGCTCATTCGGCAGGTGAGTCTCATTGGGTGCCTGCCCGGGAACCACCAGGTGTTCAAGGTGAACAAAGTGGTGCTGCTTCCTCTGTCGGTGCACGAAAACTCCGAGACAGAGATTGAGGTAGGTAGTCTTCATCTAGACTGGAATGGGCATGTCAATATGTGGGGGTCGCCTTCTGAAAGCAGGATACCACTCACATTCCCCACCCCCTTTCTTTAGTGGCATCGAGTTACACGGGAGGCTCTTAAGCAAAACTTGACCGCTCGGTTCACAACAAGAAAAAGATCCAACTTTGTGTGGAAATCACGCCCAGGTGCAGTTTGGTTGAAAGTAATTGCAAGTAGGGGCTCTGGAAGCTTTCCTTACTGCTTCTGAATTACACATGTGCACCTCAAAATCAAGGCACTTCTTGCCCTTCATAGGCAATGCAATTTGTCAGTCTTGAACGCTAGTTCAAGAATTGAACTAGCAGCCACATCCTTCCTGCATTGTGTTGCCCCATTTGTCTGCACTGAAAATGCCTATGAACTTTGAAGTGCTGTAAAACATTTTATGTTAAATTTGTGAGAAAATAAAAATTCTAGAAATAACAAGTATTCAGTTGTGTGTGGTGTGGAGGTGTTAAAGGGAAGTTGAAACACTTCTTTGAAAAAATGAGATAGAGGTTTATTCTAGCATAGTTTTATCCCATGAATCTGAATATCACGTTAGTTTTTTCCTAAAATGTAGCTAAACGCGAGAAAACACGAAAAACCTCCGACCAGTTGTGACTTCATAAAAGGGTCTTTCGGCCGCCAAGCACGAGTCGCTCGGAGGCCACGCACGCAGTTCCAAGCTTGCTAGGTATATTCCTCCACACTGGCACCAGTCGTGACGTTTTTTTTCTTCCCTTTTCAAAAATAGCAAGAGTGCACCTGCATAGCTTTGATAGGCGCTGAAATGCGTGAGAGCGGAGATTCCAAAAACTCCTTTTGTGACATCACACTCCGTGATGGATGGCTTTCAGCAGTTCTTTTGAAATGATTTTCTGCAGCCTCAATGCACCAAATTAAAAACTAATTTCGATATTTGAGATCCTTTAGGTCAAATGAAGATTTAAATGTGTTTCCTCAAATACAAAACCGTTTCAAAATCCCCTGAAAAAAAAAAAAAAAATTTTTTTTAAGTCTGGTTGGGACACAAGTATATCAAGAAATAAATTTTATGTGAAAAAAAATTTTTTTTAGAGCAAAATTGATGGCGAGAGATTTATTTGAAATTCTGTGCGTAAAGTCCATGACGCCACGGAATGTTCATTCACTCAACGAGATAATCATTCGCTCTTTCCACCTCAAGGTGAAGGTGAAGCGGATCCACCTATCCTCCAAAAATTTGGGGGTTTTACGTGCCAAACCAATGACGGGCATCTGGCACGCCCCAGCGGAGGACTGAGGATTAATTTGGACCACCTGGGGATCTTTGGACGTGCAACCGAGAGCTCGGTTACACAGCGTCTTCTCCGCAATAAGCCTCCATCAGATTGCGGGCACCTCGGCCGGGATTCGAACCCACCACATGGGGATCCTTAGAATCCACCTCTCCTCCACGTGCCCGAAACGCCGAGAGAGAAAACAAGTGGAAAGGGGAAGTGACTACCGACAAAAACATGTCTTGCGCCGTCAATATTGCTCTAAATAGATTTTTTTTTTCCCGTAAAATTATTTTTTTTTACATGCGTGTCCCAACCAGACTGTTTAAAAAAAAAAACTTTTTTTCTTTTCAGGGGCCCTTTAAAAAAATTATGAACCGAAATTCGGATTTCAGAAAACAAGGCAAGAGCCGTAGGCGGGACACTACAATCCCTACAATGCTACTCGTAAGGCGATATCACGAATCGACGGCCGTAATTCTTAAACAAAACAGGTGGAGATTAAATGAGGCCAACGAAGCGCGTGACGTCAAAGATATCTCGTTTCCTTCTCTCTTCGTTTCGCCCCCTCAAGGTGGCGAGGCGGAGAAGACGCGAGGCCGTTCCCTCTCCTTCTCAGAAAAACAAGACGTGAACATATCTGTCAAATGTGCCTCCTTTTTCTTTTTTTTTAAATACGGTCATCTGTTCGGTATATCGTTGCATGAGTGAGGTTTTGATGTTTGTAGCATCCCATTGCACGTTTTTGCTGCTGTGCTTTGCGGAATCCAGATTTCGGTTCAGCATCCCTTTAAGGAACGACGTGGGTTTTTAAAGGAGCTGTGCAACAATTTCGGGGCTTTGCTTAAATAATTATGGAAGTTGATGCCTGACACTTCTGAAGTGAACTACAGAAAACAGATTTTGCCTAGATACTTTAGTTTTTATTTAAAAAAAAAAATGAAAAAGATCCAGGTTTTTGCTGCCTCTCAACTCGTACGTCGTTATCCGGGTCACGTGCGCAGTGAGTTCATGGGGTAGGTGCGGGGTTCCGGTAAAGTTCTCTCTTTAGAGCCATCAGTGAGCAGCGAGAACTCATCCGCTCGCGACCACGTAACCACGTGCTGGTGGGCGCCGCGCGAACAATATGGTGAAAGGAGGAAAGTCTCATTAGGGTCTGGCCATACCCGTCCGGCCCTGTCCCCCTCCGCCTCCGGTTTCTGGCGGCTGTTCGCGGTAGCACATAGAGCTGACGGTTTTGTGGACCTAGGATAGATGGCGCCACTAAGACTCCGTATAATAAAAGTTTTGTCGATGATACCAAATTTTTGACGCATTTATATATATGTTGGAACGAGAAGATTTATAGAAAAGTTACCTTTTATCGAGCAGGTATTCGCACAACTCGCTATCTTTTTACAAGATTCCGCATTGACATCATGCCGCGTGTTTCTCATGGCCGCCGCTTGCGGCTGCAGGTCGGTGAATATTCGAAGTTTTGCCTCGCTATAACGTGGCGAAATCGCAACATTTTGATGAAAGGAGGTGTGTTTTCTGTCATTTGTGACAAGGTGAACAATATCAAAAGCAGAAGATGCAAATTCTTTCAACGTTAAAATCGTTGCACAGCTCCTTTAACCTTTTTTTTTTCTTTTCAGCTATCGTGTTGAAATTTGGCATACAGGTGTATTTCCCAATGATAATTCCAAATCTGCAATTAGTTTTAATATAGCTCATCTACAACCTGACTTACAAGAGTTCTAAAACTTTAATTAGGTTACTTCTTACAGGTCATTAGTGCAAAAGTTTTCATAAAGTAGCGAAAATTTCTCTAGACGCATTCACCAAGATATGCTTTGCGCGGTGATGCTATTTTACACATGATTTTATGATAATTTTCATGTTAAAAGCATTGTAGACTAAAATGTGTAAAGTGGACAGCAGGTCGCTGACTCTGGAGGTTAATAACTTCATCTGTTTTAACCTTGCCAAGGTTTCAAAGATTGTCCCGTTTGCATTGTCCCGAAATCTCTCCTTGTTTTCGAGTCTGGTGTTTTGACGAAAATGGTTGGTGGTGTGGTCTGGTCCACACAGCCCTGCCCAAAACACCACCCCAATGTGCGGCGCCCCGAGCGAAGCCCAGCCTCGGAGTTCCAACAACGGGCTCTCCAGAAGACCTGGAACACGATCAAGACGGCCACCGCCCAGGTGAAGCCCCGCAAGGTAGGCTGTGCCAGTGTGGGCTGCGTTCTAAGCTCTACAAAGTTCCCCATATTCCTCAGCCTGTGCAGAAGGAGAACCGGGACAAGTATGAGCGGCGCCTGCTAGACGTAAGTGGCGGCGGGAGTCTCTGAGGCAGAGAGCCCATGGGAGCCGGTCTGTATGCTCGCAGGAGCTGGCCAAGATGTTCAACGACACAAATTCCTTCTACCTGTCGCCCACGGGCGATTTGACCAACACGTTGCAGCGGCAGTACGAGCAAGATCCGCAGCTGGCGAAGGCACCCCTGTGGCGGCGCGTGGATGACCGCTTCTTCTGGAACCGCGAAATGCTCCGGGATCTGACGGAACGAGAGGTGGGTGGGACAAGGGGAATTCGGAAGAGGGCAAATGTGTGGACGGATGGTGCAACGAGTGCACAACTCGATATCCAATGCTAGAAGACGATGTGGGAAAACGCCGAGAACCAGTTTTGCACTGTGCACTGCTCTCTACCTCGAACTTGAAACTTGTCGCGAGTGCCACGTGGGCTTCGACTTAGCGCAGCTCTTCCCTAGGACTCTGCGGGGGACCATTGGATTCAGCCTGTGGTTCAGGGCTTTGTCCAAGTGGAACGCTGCCAGCTGGACACGATGGACGATGGCCCGGCTGAGGCGGCCCTGACTCAGGACAGCACGGGCACCTGGTTCGACATGCAGTGCACCGAACGACTGCCGGCCAAGGAGTTCACTATGGCGCTGGTGTCGCGCCGCAGCAGGTATCGCGCAGGCACTCGCTACAAGCGGAGAGGGGTTGACGACACGGGCCAGTGCGCCAACTACGTCGAAACAGAGCAGATCTTCGAGTATGCAGCCCACACGGTGTCCTTTGTGCAAGTGCGCGGCTCCGTGCCTGTCTTCTGGAGCCAGCCGGGCTACAAGTACCGGCCGCCACCCCGTCTGGATCGGGGTGAGTGTCGGCTTTGGGCCCGAGTTTCTGGGCGGCTGGCTACAGGTTGTGCTTCTACAGGAGAGGAGGAGACGCGGCAGGCCTTTGCCAAGCACTTTGCCGAGCAGCTGCACCTCTATGGGAGCCAGGTGCTGGTCAGCCTGGTGGAGCAGACGGGCAAGGAGAAGGTCCTGGCCGATGCCTACCTGAACCACGTGCTGCTCCTGGATGACCCTCGACTAACTTACGTCAGCTTCGACTTCCATGAGTACTGGTGCGTGCTAACTGCATGCGTCTTCGGGAACAAGGCGACAATGCCCGAGTAATTTCTCGAATGGCTGACAGGTTACTGGTGTGATTAGGAATGTGTGACTAAGTTCTGACGGAATGTGACCCGAAGGATAAAGCAGCAAATGTTTATCCTTCAGGGGTCAGGGCACCAAATGGGCAAAAAAATGAGCTTCCTTTTGATCGACAACATTTACATAGGCTACTTGACATGCACGCCGGCTTTCACATTTTTCGGAGCTCCAACTCTAGAGATTAGAGAATACAGGGTCTAGATTTACGAAGGGCAAGCATTTTTGTCCAGTTTGGACCTGACTGCACCGACCGTCTTCAACATTATCAACCTGCAGACTGCATCACCCAGGTAAAAACTAAGCGTAAAACATTAACTGCAGCCAGGTTTGAACTTGCAATCTCTGCACACCATTGCTGCGGTGCCAGAGTGTGCAACGTCTCTACTTGCATTTACTCGCTCTCGTCGCCACTGGTAGAGCTCACCGCTACTGGGACGCGCCGAATTTTTGAACATTTACATGGCAAGCAATTGAACTAAAATGCATCTCTCCACGCATCCCAGAGGAGGACAGAAGGAGAGAGAGGGATAGATCATTTGTGTGACCAATAGAGGCAGCAGTTCAGACCTGTTTTCGAGACAACCGGTTATTCAAATTTGATAACCAGGTATTCAAATAACCATTTACGTTACTCAGTTATTCGGTTATATAAATGTCTGGATACTGGAATACCGTAATATCCCGAGAGGTAGCCCACCTAAAATCGAGAGCAAATGGGGCAAAAATAAGGTGTGGGCTAACTTTCGGTGTATAATCAAGAAATATTGAAAAAACACTATTTTTAGATCATGTTTTTCTGTCAAACTTATTATCGCGGCAAGGGACAATGGAGCAAAGATGACCGTACTTCCCAGTCAGCAATGTTCGCTTTTATCCTGCCATAGCTAACTAGTGCAGTTATGCAGAGGTCATCATTGATCCGAACGCTAGGATTATCAGGAGTGGGCTATCTTTCGGTGCTCAAAAGAAGACAGCAAATCAGGGCAAATATAGAGGTGGGTTATCTTTTGGGAGTGGGGCATCTCTCGGGATTTTACGGTACGTTGCCACCTGCCAAAATCGAGATTGTTCAACCGAAATAAATTTTTTCTCCCTTTTTTGCCCGGTGGTTTCACCTGTCTCTCCTGCAGGCTTTGGCAATTAAAGGGGATCCTCAGAGGTCATTTATTCATCCAGGCATCTCACTCCTAGCGGCTAAGTTGAGAACTACTCCCGTGGGGACAACAACAGAAATGATCTGTTTGTGTTTCCAACAGAGGCACCGAATGCCGCGTCAGCATTCGGCTGGGGCTCGTGTGCAATCAGTGAAACACCGTTGGAATGCGAGTCGCAGACAAACACTGACGCAGCACTAGTGTCAAATCTACGCCCCGGGCTCCATCGACACAGATGAGCAAACTGTTCTATTCTGGATGCCTTGTGTTGGGTAAACACTGCGCTCCATAAGAAAACAAGCTGGACAAAGCACCCCCTGTGGATGCTTTATGGCAGCTGTGTATAAGCGCTGCCATAACCGACCTTCAGTTTTTGTTGCCTATTATTCTGTTCACTTTAGTTTGTCATTAAGGACAGGTTATTGGCCTTTTAGATTCTACTGTGTCCTTCCCGGCATAGGCCTTTGTGAAGGCTCAACACCCGCTTCAGTGGCTCGGCATCTCGGTAAGACAGGAGAACGTCAGCAATGGCAGTTGTAATCTGGCATGTGTGTAAAGTGTCTACAGTTCACTCTCCTTAATATATGCACAGGGATTAGTAAATTTATTACTTTCTAATTACCTGAGGAACATGATGTATTCTTTGTGATCCTAGGAATGTGAAATAAAAATTAAATAAGCTGTAATCTTATTAGGGTATACACAAGATGAAACCAGATAACCAAATAACTGGTTTGCTAAACTGATTATTCATATTCGAAAATCCGGATAACCAAATAACCGGCTTTTTAGGCCGGATTAGCTTTCCTTTGTTTCAACCGAATATTTTTGAAATGCAGCGTTCTCCTGTAAGCAGCAACCAACATCCCTACCACAAGTTCTTCGTTCGTTGTAGCCAAGAACCAAAACAATTTTTGGTATAAATTCCATTTTAGTCAACCTATCGTTTGATAATGGCAATAGAGAGAAGGCTCATTCTTCACTTTTCGTGACTGAAATTTAATAAGGAATGCGGCTATGGAATGTTTTTGTCACTTTACAGATGTCTTTCATAAAAAATGTTGACATTTTGTCGAAGATACAGAAAACCAAAAAGTTGACCAATTTTGCAGAAGAGAAAATTGATAGAAACAAATGACTTTTTACAAAAAACTTTCCATAGCCGCACCTCCTAAGTATTCTGCTACATATCTAGCGAATAAAAATCTTGAATATTGTGATAGTTTTCGAACGATAGGTTAACTAAACAATGTAGGGGTGTTGCTGATAGAAGCTGCCCTAATTTCCTTCCCACTTAACCGACAGACCTGAAATTTTGTTATGCACCCTCTGGCATGACCACCAGCCTACCCTGTAAATTTAATTAATTTTAAGCCAAGGGTTCAAAAGTTGACCCTCCCAGGGGGTGTCTCCCCTTAAACCGAAAACTGTTTACGAGCGAAATATTTTTTGGTAACCAGATCGGAACCAATATTTTCATTTGGCATAAACCATAACCGGAAAAGAGGTGCGCACGTCTGGCCCACTACCGCAATGAAAAAAAAAAAGTAATTGAATGCTCCAATGTCAAGAACATTCGGTGCCACTTGTGAATAAAAGCTCAAAATATAAAAAACAATCCCTCTACGTTTTGTTTAAAAAAAAAAAATGCTAAGCTTTAAGATTAAAGTTATAAATAGTTTTAACGGCACTTTTTAATTGCATTAACATTCTTGTGAACTTGTGTTGCTTGATATTTTATGTATTATTGCATGTACAGTGCTCCTCAAACTTAATGCCACTACTCAGTTATTTAAACATTGATATATTGCCGGTTACTCAAAGCTAATTTGGTCACTGCAGCCGCTGGAATGTTTTCCCAGGGTGGGTTATCGGGGAGTCAAAACTTCACCATGTAGTTCAACCAGTAAGCCCACGAATAGCACAAAGTGTGCCAAACACAAACCATCTCGTTGTGGCGTTAAAGGGGCCCTGCAATCATATTTAAGCGTCTACTTTTTTTGCGGTTTCCACGCCTCTTGGGGTTCAGGCAAGCCCGCGGGCATGAAGAGAGTAATTAAATATCAGTGCGTCATATTTTAACCAGGCGACGCGGAAACCTCCTCCACTTACGGGGGCGACCCGCAGTGCCGAAAGCGCGTGATATGTGACGTCTTTGGTCCTGGGCTTACTACTGCTCAGAGCCGCTAAGAGCTTCTTTTTAGTCGAAATACAAAATAAAAGTGGCGCGAACCGTTTCAGTTATTTATAAAAGTAGTTTCTGTTCAGTATTTTAGATCAAAAAGAAACAAACACAGTTTAGAGAGTATGAAAACAAGAAATGACCCGTCGACATACCCGCCACCAAGCGGTGCAAAAGGCTGCGCATACTAGAAAGGTGTAGTGGGACCGACGAGGGGCGAGCGTGGAAACGTCCCGAATGTATACGGCGGCGCTGCGGTCGTATGGACTGGAGGATTTGACCGGTTCCGAGCATTCTGAAGGCCTTCGGTGAGCAGCTTTGGCTTGCGGTTTGGCCTTTTGGTGGTATGGCAGCGCGAAGTGGCTCACGTTCTGAACTGATCTTTACCCCATGTTTGCTGTCGTTTGTGGCCAATGAAGTGTCATGCCAAATTAGTGTTTAATTGCGCAGCAAATGCAATGCTAGCCGCCCTGGCTGCCTGCTTCATACAGCCTATCCAGAACATGCTTTAGTGGCGGCCTTTCGAGCCTTCGACACGGAGGGCGGCAGCAGTGAGCGCTCGCTGAGCTCACTACCCCTCCTCTAATTCACGGCCACTTAAGCGACCAAGGACGTCATGAAGGAGGTTGTTTTTTGCTTGTTTTTGTAATTTTAATTTGCCTATAACTTTTAAAATAAAGCGAAATTCGAGAAAAGAAAAGTTTAATTAAGTTACTACGTTGAGTGTGCTCGGGTTCGGTGCAAATTAAAAACCAGTCGAAAAGTCCTTGCAGGGCCACTTTAAGTTTGTGGAGCACTGTACTTCCCCATGGTCTATGCAAGTTTTTCTTGTTAAAGAAGAAACGAAGATGAGGAGGTTTATACGAGTCCCCAGCTTCTCATTAGGCTTGACGTTGGCTGGAAAAGGGTGCCATTTTGGGCTAGGCCTCTCAGTGCATTGATAATATTTTGTTTCACCACAAGTGCCCTCGCTTCCAGTATAACGCTTCGACAGGGTTATGCGGAAAGCCAGGGCACTTTAATGCTGGAGGGAGAGAGAAATTAACTTTATTGAGGGTCAAATAAAGGCCCTAGAGGTGCTCCGGGAGTGCGCTAAAGTTACCACTCATACGGCATACGCAACGTTTCAATAGTGACAGATGGGCTAGCTGGTACGTTCCTTTTGACAATAAGCACCACAAGATGGAAACAAAGTAAGAGACACAACACACAACGCTTTGTGCCCCAGACAATATATATCTTTGCATCCTCTAAAGTTTACGAAACCTACTATTCACGAAATTCGTGAAAATTAGGGGCTCGCAAACATTACATGTTTTATAGTAAATCAAGAGTTGTCGTAATACTTCTGGAAGGTTTTTCTACATAAGTGATGAGAACTAGAGATGCCACAAACGTTTTGCGAACCTGAGGTTCAAAGATTGAACCAAGAGGTTTGTAAAGTTTCGAAACGTCAAACTTATTGGCACATAAAAGAAAAATAAATGATTTTCGAACTTCCAATTTTTCGTGCTATGAAACTCGACATTTGCGAACTCTTGAGCTTATTATGCTAAGAAATTCAACAATTTTCAGACTTTCGAACCTGTTAAGTTCAAAAGTTTGACGAACTTTGAACTTCTGAACAAAAGTTTGACAAAGTTTGAACCAAGTGCAGCCCCATAGGGTCAAGCCAACAAATATAAATAGCACAAGATGTCGATGTGTGAACTGGAGTCGAAATTTCACTAGAGTCTTACTTAGCTGATTGTGAAACAAACAACTCGCTTATGAAGCGCTGAATGATCACTTTGGGGTGGCCTCGACCTCGCACCTTTTTTTTTTTCGACTTCGGCACAGAGCGCCTTCCGCGCAGAACTCCGTAGGTTGCCCCGAGGTAACCTGTGGGCCACCAGATCCCCGATCTGCTGGCTTGAAATTCAACTGAGGCACTTGACTGGGAGCGTCCTTTATAGCATTAGTTGTTTTTGAACGCAAGTCCGCCCCATTTCCTCGAATCAAAGAAAGGCATGTGCGAAGCGTGACGCCTATGCAGTGCGACAAAGGCTGAATTGGCACTTACTTTATTATCATTAGTAACCGGCTGCATTTTAGAGCGGCCAATATCTCCATTCATCGAAGAAGTTCCAGGCAGCAGCAATATATCTAGCCCGATAACAACCGGTTGGGACCTGGTTAGGGGGCCGGGAGGTCCCCTAATTTAGTCTGGTTGAATTCTCCTCAACCTTGACCTGTGTCAGGTTCTGTGCCCGTGTTAAATGTTTTCTCTATCCCACGGATCATCCTGCCAAAAATAAACGCCCAGAGCAGCTAAAAATTTTCGTGAAGCCTGGATGCCTTTATGTGCATGCATTGTCCTGTATATTTAGATGTCTTATGCCAGCATTGCATTTAGGCGATGTTTGATCGGATTGCTTCTAGTTCGCAAATGCCTAAAAAGAATGTTCACCTGACCGCCTCAGGGCTTTTCGATGAACCGTTCAACCTCTTCAATGCTTGTTTCATAAGTTACGACAAATAATGTGTAATACAGGTAGTACAGTCAGTACCACAGCACTGAGAAGGAAGAAGTATATATTTATGGCATATAATAAATGGGCAACTTTTTTAGTAAATTTTGTAGCACATTTTGCGATTTTTTTAGGTGCATTCGTGAAAACTTGGTTTGAACCTGCCGAATTTGATCTCTGCCCATGAAATTGTAAGGCTTTGAACTTAAAATCAAAACTTTCAAACTTTCCGAATTTGTACCTCAAAGAAATTCAAAATGTTTGTATTTTTCTGACTTGAATTTTAAATAAATTCAAAATGTTCAAATTTTTGACCAATCTGTGAAAAATTCGACATCTTCGAACTGTAACTTTTAGAAACCTGGACATTTTCGAATTATTTGAATTTGAACCTCGGCGGGTTTCTGCAGTTGTGAATTTTTCGAATTCAGACCCTAGCAAGGTTAGAAATTTTCTAACATTTTGAACTCTGAACTTTGGGAGGTTAGCGGCATCCCTAATTAGAGCCAACATTTGTTTGAAAATCTGTAAGTATAATGTGTGGTAAAATTGTCGCGGGAATGTTTTAGTTGGTGGAATGCATGAATATGCAACTTCCTTGTTTATTTCTTACCACTACATATTTTCATTGCAAAATTTTTGTTCCAACCAAGAGAAGATCCTAACGACGCCCATGGTTGGTGATGATGTTGCCGCTTGCGGCAATGAACACCTTGCTCAGTGGATGGAGTCCAGCAGCTTTTTTTTATACAGCGATTTAAGTGCTTAAACCATGGCTTTGTTGGCTTAATACCTTGATGCACTGTTACTTTGAAGGCCCAGGAGAGTGTAACACGTGTAGCTTAATCTGAATGTAGTCAAACATAAAAAATCATTGAGGTCAATGTGTGCCGTTATTGTAACAGGAAGAGTAACATGTTACATTTGGGGTACAGTACCATGAATGTTTTGAGGCTTGGTAATGGGCTTAGACTGTTCTTTTGTACAGAGCAACTATTAATGCCATTGATTTACTATTTGATGGAGTGAGTTTAAATGTCTGTGGAATGTGTACATGTTTGCATTATGGCTTATTTGCAGCCGAGGCATGCGCTTCGAGAATGTGTCGGTGCTCATTGACGGCATCAAGGACCTGGTGCGGGACATGCGCTACTGCTGGTGAGTTTAGACTGTTCATCTAGTCAAAGCCCTGAGAGCTGGATTTGTGCACAGGCTGGATCAGCAAGGGCTCATCTGCGGTCAACGAGGTGTCTTCCGAATCAACTGCATCGACTGCTTAGACCGTACCAACATTGTCCAGACGGCCATTGCCAAGACAGCCATGGACACCCAGGTAGCCCAGCACAGGCAGCAAAGACGGGAAGGCTCGAGAGGTGTTCTCCTTGCAGTTTGTTCGGTTGGGACTGCTGCCACCGGAGGGTGTGCTGCCCACAGCCTGTAGGAGGATCTTCCAGATGCTGTGGGCCAACAACGGGGACATCATCAGCCGCCAGTATGCGGGCACCGTGGCCCTCAAGGTGAGCCATAAACAGGCGCGCGAGCCGCAGCTGAGCCATCTGCTTTGCAGGGAGACTTCACTCGCACAGGATCACGGCGTCTGGCCGGCATGATGAAGGACGGCTACAACTCGGCCAACAGGTGGGGCACACACTGTGTGCCGCCTGACTGCGATGCTGAACCTGGCCCTCTTGCAGATATTACATGAATCGGTTTAAGGACGCCTACCGGCAGGCCACCATTGACATCATGCTAGGGAACCCCGTGACGGAGGACTTCATGGCTGTGAGCCCTGAGCAGGAGGACGAGCCCATCCTTGAGATGCAAGACCAGGAGCATCACGAGCACGTCAAGCAGCTCATAGAGCACTGCAAGAAGATGCTGATTCCCGAGAGTGAAGTGGTGCTCGGTGGTTGGGCCCTTATCGACGCTGACCCTGTGTGAGTGGCCTTCTGCCTCGGGTTGGATTTTTTGTTCGACAGTACAGATAGCGTCCACCGTCTAAGCAGGATAAATAGTTTCCGTAATAATTTAGTCTTGTGAAACTCCATAGTTCTCACAAAGATAAAAATCTTAAGAGTACCATTTTGGGGCCTACTAGGTTTTTGCTGAAAGCAGACTTGAACAAATGGAGATTTGTTTAAGTGAGACTCAATGAAAATGATTTTGCAGCACGGGGGACCCAGGTCAGGGAGACATGGATTCAATCCTGGTTCTGACTCAAGACTCTTACTATGTGGCTGAGTAAGTAGGCTTGGGCATTTGATTTTGCTGGGTTTTGCCTCAGGTCTTCTTTGTGGCAACAGGTATGACGACCAGACGGATCGCATCACCAAGTACCAGAGGGTATTTCTGGAGGACCTCGAGAAAATGGAACTGGGTAGGCATTGTCCCGTGGGCTCTTGTAGTCTGTACAGTTATACGTCTCTCCTTTTAGGGCCCGAACCCTCGCTCTTCAAGTCTCGGCATCACTGTATCCGGTTGCACTATCTGGTCAATGGTCAGGGAGGCTATTTCCACATGTTCCGGTCGACCGGCACGCGGTTCTTCAACAATGTGGCCGTACCGATTAAGAGCGAGGAGGAAGCCATTGGTGAGTGATGCGCTTGGGCCTCTGGCCTTCCTTCAGGGCATGTTTTGCTTGCAGAGTCTCTCAAGGCCATTTGCGAGTCCTTCAAGGTTGCACTGAGCGTCAAGTCCCTTAATGTGCCGCTGTTTGAAGGCAAGCTGGAGAGGCGGCGGAGCAAGCTTCCTTTTGTCCAAGGCGAGCGTTCGGGGAGCCTGGGCTTTCCACCCTTGCACCTCGAGCTGCCGTCGCTGAGTCACATGCCCCGCAACGTTTCGGAGGGCCAGCTCATGGCTTTCGTCAACGTGGGTTCGCGGGCCCTGAGCAATGTGACGTCGCAGTTTGCTCGCCTCAACCCGATGCGCAGCGTGCGGGGCCTGACCAAGCGACCGGCTGCAGCTCTCGGAGCCCTCTGCGAGGCACGGGGCTCTTTCCAAGTGGACAGCTCGTCCGACTCGGAAGAAGACTCAGCTCGCTGGCTGCGCCGAGCGGGGCCGCTGACCGCCGACCGCACCCTCAGCTCGGACTACTCGGAGTGCAGTGACTTGGACTCGGACGAGCCGGGCAGTACCCAAGACACGCTGCTCGAGAGCTGCGGCATCCTAGCCACCAGCCCGAGCCTAGCCAATGTCGAGGCCCGGCCACCCTCGGCCTTTGAGATTGACGACTTTGTGCTGGACGCAATGCGGAAGGCGTCGCAGCGGCGGCCGCGGCGGCCGCAGGCCCCCCAGATTCAGGTGAGCCCGCCGGCGCAGCCTGCCGCGCAGCCTGCCCTGCCGACTTTGCAGGTGAGCGACGAAGCCCCCAGCGAACTCCCGAGTCCGGCCCGGCGGCGCCAGCTTTCCAAGTCATCGGAGCAGCTGGACAGCCGTTCGTCGGCCAGCCCCACTCTGGGCGAGCTGTGCCGTCTGCTCGTGCACGAGGAGGCGCCTCGCGAGGCAGAGGGCGGCCTCTCAGGGAAGATGAAGATGTCGCACAGCGAGAGTGCCATTCAGGACTTCTCGCTGCCCTGCTCTCTTCCGAACCCCCTGTCCTCGCCCATCATCATCAAGAAGGACCTGGTGCTGTCCCCCCTGTCCCGCATCGCCAAGGGGGTGCAGACTCTGGGGCTGAACCTGCGGCCCGTCGCCATGGGAGGACGGCGCTCGCAGCTGCCGCTGGAGAGCGAGGCGCTGCGGCAGCGCAAGCGCACGTGCCGCTCGCACATTCTCGAGCTCTGAGCTCACTCCCGTCTAGTCGGCCGCCAGGGGTGGAGGTTACGATGGCCTCCCCTTCCGGGCTCGGTCGTCCGCTCGACGGGCGACCTGAGAGCAAACTAGTTTGGACGTTCTTCGAACACCAAGTGCTGAAAGAAACCACGGCAGAGAGCACACTTGCTTTTCTAAACCATTTACACTGCTGTTGTCACCTTGTAAATATCCTGTTATGGCCAGTGTGTATATAGGTCTACTTGTGATTTTACCGGTACCGTACGACTCGTATGGCATGTACATTTTTGTGCTCTGTGTCGTAACGTTTTATGCACGTAGCTCCCCGACGCCTTGCACGTGCACTTTTGGTGTATAGACGAGGTACAACGGGTGCGTTTGCCTCTTGAGGATTTGTAGTCTTTCCATTTGTATTGAAGACGGCATTTACTTCTGGGAGTTCTTACCGCGGGGGCCTCCCCAACCAACGAGTCTTTTTTTGTTCCCTTCGCCGTGGCTCGGCATCGACTCTCGAGCTTTCCCGGTGACAGTCAGCACTGTGGGTCACACAATGCTTACTGAAATACTCAGCAGTATTGTCCGAAGCACGAAATGTGCGGGTCGGTCAGAATTTTCCTCTTACTTTCCAACAATTCTGTTAACATTCCTATATATATTTTTTCTATACTTAGATCTGCAGATATACTCGACTTGCAGAACTTAACGGCGGAACAAAGAAGCGAGCCTGAGATGGGAAGGGGCTCTGTGAAATTATTTCTACTTGCAGTGCTGTTTTGCCTACCTTTTGGGCCCTGAACTTGTTATTTAAGTTATACACTTGTTTGTTTTTACGGCTCCTGGCCAAAGAGCTATTTATGGTGGGAGTTGCATGGGAGGGCAGAGGAGCTGCGTGCACATTTAGGCCTGTGCCTGGGCGCAGGGACTTGCTTGTCGGCCCGTGGGTGTAGCGCCCACAAATGCTGACCGTGTTAGGCGATGTATCCTTAGGTTCTTTTACAGCTAGAGCACCCACCTTGTCGGGCCACGTTTGTGCAATGTAACAACCAGATCCTGCAGAGTACCGTTGGGAAATGGGTCTAGCGACAGTCAAAAGCTTGCACAATCGTTCCATTCAGCCAGGTGCTGGGAGACACTTTGCCACGTGTTTGCGTGCTCGGGTGTCCCACACTGTTCCCAAGCACTGAAACCCGTGCTTGAGAGTGGACCAACGCAAAGTGTAATCGCAGTGGAAATGCAGTCTCCAAATAAAAGCTATTATCTCAACTTGTGGTGGATCTGATATTACAGCGGGGACAGACATGGCCTCGGTTTGTGGCATGAGCTTTCCACTTCTGTTCGGTCGAGCAGTACTGCAGGTGGCTACATTTCCCCACTTGCTTGTACCGCTGTTGCTGTAGTGTAGGTTATAGAATGGTACTGGCCGATACTGTGTCTTGTATGATGGGAAGAAAATGAAGCTTAGTGATTGGCTGGGGCCATACTGATGTCAGCCAACAGTGGCGTAGGCAGAGGGGAAGTTTTAAGGTCGAAATCCCCCCCCACACACACGCACTTCATGCCCAGCTCCATAGCCAAACCCCCCTCCTCCCATCATTAAAAAAAAAAAAAAAAAAAGAGTTCATGGTTATGCCGCTGTTAGTCAAGATGGCTGTCCAAAGCTGTTGAAGGGATCATATACTCAAAATATGGCACGAGGAGCCTTTCATCCTGTTGACATTCTCGTAACAAAATAGTTGTTGAGTTTGGCAGTCATTTGAAATAGCACCACATACACAGGAGAAGTATAAAGACCCATGGCCAAGATGGGGGCTTGGGTGCATGCCAGTGGCATAGCCTGAAATTTCTATAAGGGGGGGGGGGGGAGGAAGGGAGGGGGCGGGGGTGTTTTGCTTTGCTGGTGGGCAAGAGAAAGGAGGCGGAAATAGAGAGAGAGATGTAAACGACGCATACCATTTTTGTTCTTGTTGCATTTCAACTGAAATAAAAATTCACTTTGTCTTTTTATTGTCATTGCACAAAAAGGACTAAGCATCCATGAGACTGTACATTCAACTGCTATAAAAAAAAAAATATGTGAACGACACAAAGAATGACAAGAATTAGAATTGTACTAGCAAACTAAGGGTAAAAACACGGGCAAGCTGGTGAATAACTTCCATTACAAACCCGAGACGAGGAACGACAAAAAAACAGATGCAACACAAAAAATGTCTGTTTGTTTATCGAGCCTCATCTCGGGGGTTTGTAATGGAAACAATATATTATTTTCCATACATAATATGCATTAATGTAAAAGGTAACAGTGTCACAAGCAAAAGACAAGAGGACAACAGCACAGCTTTCCTGTGCAGTTTTGAAACATGAAATGCTTTCCTAGTGTAGTCACCTCCGCAGTCGGTGTCTCGAAAATTACTGCTACCTCTCTGTCCAGCTGCGTCGTGCAGTCTTGTCAAGGCGACGCTTCTGCGTCACAAATTGGCACGCCTCTTGCTCCAGCTACGTCACCCGCAGCACGGGGAATGCTTGTGCAACTTTTCCACTTGGCTTGGTGTCCGAGAAAGGGCTGCGACTTTTTACTCAGTGGTCCCAATGAACTTGAGAAACAGTTTTGTGACGTAGGGCGACGAATGAAAATATCCAGAGAGAGATTGTCCACTCCCTGGAGTGTGGACAACAGTGGATCGATGGGGGCTTTTAACAATAGCCCCAATGAAAGGGAGACTTGTTTGTATTGAACAGGATGATGTGCGGAAGAGAGTGGTTATGCAGTGTGACCTAGAGCTCCTGCTGAAATATGTGGAGCGCCCACTTGGATGTTGTGATGAAGTGCCGAGGTACGAAGTGGATAGCTTGTGGAAGAAAAAGGGGGGGGAGGGAGGGATAAAATTATTTTTGGGCATGTCCTGACCCCTGAACACCTAACTGCCCGTGGCTGCTCTCCCTTGTGCATGCAGCTTCGTGCTGAGAAGCGTTGCATTTAGTATTCTGCGACACTTCTGCGAGCTGTGACAGTGAGTAGAAACTGCTAGAAATGTGCGATTATAAAATTTCGGCTTGCAAATCGAATACGAATATTTTCAAATACAAATATTTTACATTTCATGTCGATTCAACATGGATACTTTTATGGATGGAAGCCTTTTCTAAGAAATTAACAGCTCTATTACTTCAGAAACATTTCATGTATACTTTTATTAAGCAAGAAAAGGCCCTGATGAGTTGGGTAAAACAATGCAACACCAAGCCAAGCATTAACTACCTCATTGGTTTGAATATAGCTTGAGGTTTCCTTTGCTGGCTCTACCCTTTGAAATCGGGCATCAGACTAGAAATATAACCCAAAAATGGCAGACCCCCATTGGTGAGCAAAATTTCCTAGACCGTCGAGTCAACCAAGTTGCTCCGGCCAACCGTTTCCCCTAGCATGCCGGTGCAAAGCAGAGAAAGTTCGAGGCCAGAGTGCTCGTGTGAAGCTTGATTCATTAATAATTTTTCCTTACTTGAAGAACTTGAATAACGAATCTAATGGCAAGCACTACTCTCAAATTGTTAGAAATTTAGAATATTTCACAACTTTAGCCTCTACCCTAGACTAGTGAATGACCCTGAAGGTGGGCTTTAGGGTAATATGGGCTTATTGGAACAGAAAACCCGCCTTGCATTGTGCAGACCAGGGGCTTGCAACCTTTCTACGTGCGGGGCATATGCAGTAAGAGTGCCGTGCTCTTTCCTTGTAGTGCAGAAAACATTAAATCATTGATTTTACGAAAACAAAATAAAAGGGATTACAGAACTTTTCCAATGACCCTTAGAGACGAGTTCTGCACATGCGCATGTGCTCTCCCCAAACAGAAGTGATGGATGCTTTGCTGGGAAAGACGCTACCTCCCCCGCCTCCTTTGAGTCTCATATGTTGCCATTCTTCTAAAAAATTGTTTCAGTAAGAATGCTCATTCCGCTAGATGAAGAATTTTAGGGGTAACCCCTATCCTATCAGGCTGAGACCTGGTATTGCCAAACGACACACTAACAGTTTAATACATGCCTTGCTCCTTGTCATGAGAGCCACAGTACGAAGAGGGCGCCTCAGGGCAGACTAAGAAGGAGCCAGCGCAAGGCTCTTGTACTCCGAACGCCGACACGATGGACGCACGCCGAATGGCATGCGGGCTCACTGCTAATGTATCTTATTATCTTTAACCCAAATTAAATGCCTTATAAATGCGAAAGCATTAACTGTCCCATGGAGCGAATTGGCGTTATCAGCTCTTGAAGCCGTGCCAAACAGCACCTAAATTCCTTTGTCCCATGGAACCATAGAGATCATACATCATGGAACGAAGCCTGTAGTCTGTAGCAGCGAATTGATAGATAAACTCCCATTGTCTGGCGCGCGGCATAGTTCCAAGGAGCACCACCCCACGGAGAAGCCCTCTCCGTGTCACAGCGGCACGGCCACCGGTAAAAGGGAGAGGGTGGCCGGGCTCTGCAGAGCGGCCGTGACGGCCGGCTCTGCACGCTATGTATAAGAATCAGGGATGGGCAGTATTTTAAATACAAGTATTTGAAATATGTATTTCAAATACTTTGTGTATTTAGCATTTGTATTTAATTACAAATTGGGTAATGTATTTGATGTGTGTATTTAAATTCTAAAACGTGGGTATTTCAAATACAATTGTAATTAAATACAGTTTTGTGGGCGAAAATAATCCCTCAAATTTAATGTCACGACAATTCTTGTTTTTGTGCATGTGATAGTAAGATATAGTCTCCATCCTTTATTTGGCCATGGGGCTTTTTTCTTTCTCTCCTCCGGCTTTATTTTAAAGGCACTGTCCAGAGCAGGAAGAAAACTACCGTTCTGCACCGAATGCAGTGTCTCTCAATCAAGTACAAGCGTTTAGTGACTTTGTGATTACGGTGCTAGTCCAGGGCAAGAATAGTGACGAAATCGACGTTCACAGGCAGACTGGCTAAATAAGTGCCTGTGACAACTTGTGATGCTTTCCAGCGTGATTTCCATCCATATTTTTGCCTGGAACATTCTAAATGCGCGGGTCGTCCAGATTTTCGTAACTGGTGCGAGTTGCAACAATAAAAAATTCTCTAGCTAGTGCTGCGCGTCTTGGTCGTCTCGGTTCATTGTTGGTCTATACCAAAATGTAATCGACAAAAAAAGCTGCTTGAAGCTCTGTACTTTTTTCACCTATTACGTCCAAGCTGATTACATTTTTTTGTAATTATATTTCTACTACGTTACTAGAGCCCCGCACACTAACTCCCGAGTGTACGATGCAAAATTAAAATGAGATACCCAGAAACCCGTTGCAGGTGCCCCGAAGTCGCTGACGCAAATTTTGAGGAATGTATTTGGAAAAGTATTTGGAGGAGACCAAATACATTTGGTTGTATTTGTATCTTGTACTTAAATGATTTTTTGGAAATGTAATTAGATTTGTAATTAAATACATTTTTGACAAAGTATTTTGTATTTGTATTTCGATACATATTTGGATGTATTTTGCCCATCCCTGATAAGAATGCTTTTGCATTCCAACACGTTCGCAGTCTTGGGTGTCTTTTTTCGCCAGCCTCGTCCCGACACACTTGATGTCATTTCCTTAGCTCTCCGACAACCGCAAGCGAAGATGGGAAGGAAAAACTCTTCTCACCAGTACTCTCCTCTTTGTGGCCCGGACATTGCTATTCTTCCTCTAGAAAATAATAGAAGAATAACCCGTCACAAAAATTTTGTAAAGCAGCTCTCCCCTTTCTCTCTTCAGTTGTGGTTCGAAATAGATGATGTGACATCAGTGCAAGGCATGTATTGTTTTCGTTTGCGTTACTTTGATTGAAAAATTGTCATAATGCTTGGAGAGAAAGCGCAAAGAGGCTGGAATTAAGATGAAATGATACACGGGCTTAATACACTCTAATTTTTCTTATTGAAAATTTATGTTGAAACGAGAACATACTGCCGGTACATAGTTTTGCCATAGTTTTGTTTAACCCGAGACTGGGGTATTTCGGAAAAGGGACCAGCTCGCCTGCACCCTTACAATTTTTTAACATAGTTTTGGCTTGTACCTAGGGAGCGAATCGGTGGCGTAAGCCACCCCCTGATTATAAGGGCTCGGTCATATGCATCCATTTTTTTCATTCATCCAACCCCACCAAGTGTAGTGTCTTTGCCAGCTGCTTGGTGGTTTTTATGCGTTAAAGGTCCATTCACAAAACACTTGATCACTAGAGCCACTGTACACACATTTCCATTTAGGTCGGAGCAGAGATAGTCGCAGAGTGAAAAGCACTGTCAGGCTGGAGTGCTTAGCCTGCATTTTCTCTTGGTGTGCTGTCCGCTCCAGGGGTCAGAATGTGCAAGAAACGTGGCTAGCATGCAAACATAGTCAAGTCATAATTTCAACAACTTCACACCCAACTCTGTGATTTTAAACATGTGAATTCATGTAGTAAGTCCGTTGTTTCTTATACTAGCTGTGAGGAGGTAATCAAAGCGTTGACTCATTCATCGTCTGCAACTAAGTTGAAGTTCTCTGCTGACGGGCATTGGTTCCGCTTGCTGCAAGTTTTGAACACAAACCACATCAGTGTGCATAAAATACAATATTTTTTTTTTTCTTTTGCGATTTGGTAGATGGTGAATGTACAGTAAATGTGTGAACATGTGTAGATCGAGACACTTTTTTTAAAATTTTGTTTGTTTGTTTATTCAACTCGGGAGAGTTGGGTCACTGCGATCAGGCGTTTTTAAAGTTTAGCAGGCACAGCGAAGTTCCGCATCTACCGTGCACTGTTTACAAACAAGCCTACACGAGGTGTGGGCCAACGTCCCAACGTGTCCGTTGCAACCTAAGAACGAAGGGCGAGGGAAATGCGGGCCGGGGAGGAGGAAGCAGACGGAACGTCAGCGGGAACCAGATTCGCGTAGAGCTTCTGCGCATGCGCCCTGCCAATAACAGCGTCAGCAGCGCCACCGTCGCCACGGCGCCACTGGCGCCACCGCAATGGCGTGACGTCAGGGCCAGCTACCATCCATCCATCTACTTGCATCCAGTTATCCACCCGGTTACCAATTTTGTATCATCTGCCGGTGCTGCTGGTCTACTGCTGGTGTGCATCAGAGCCGTGATCTAGAACGGCACGTGTTTCCCGGCTATTTTCAGGTGAACGACATATCTCACGATGCAAGTCACTTGTGCTGTGCTTCACAAATGCTCGTTGAAGCACTAAGGGTGAGCCATGTGGCGGAAACCGGCCGTGAGGAGTCTCGAAGTAGTCGTGAGGACAAACTTAAAAGGCTGGTACGCGGATCACGATGTGCGCCAATGCGCTATCTTTTTGGCGCGTTCTCGTACGAGATCCGGTGCTGCGAGGTGTTCGTGGCGCGCCCTTTGTACTACCTCATCTGCCGAAGAGAACAACCAAGTGCCCAAGAAAACGCCAGTTGTGTCTTACATGGGGCTGGGTTTTGGCAGAGTGCGGCAAACTCGACGTGAGCTTCTCCGGGAGGCCACCAAGCCCAAAATCGAAGACGGCACCATCCTTCCAGTTTATTTCTCGCAGCTTTGGGAAGCGGACCGGCAGCAGTTTCGTAAGTTGTACCCAAAGCTAGCAGATGCTCTCGAGAAGGAAGAAAAGAGCGACGCACCCGTCGCTCCGATCAAAGAGGTGTACCAGTACCCCTTCCAGCAGTTCGGAGTTTTTCGGGAGCAGAGCCCGGACAGTGAGCGGGCCGAGACCGCTAGCGAGAAGCTCGACGTCCGCGCTTACGACGTCCTGCAGAAGCGAGATACCGCCATCTCTGGGTTCATTCAGACGCTGGAATCAAGTCCGACGCGCGAAGACATAAGCGAGGACATAGAAGAACTCCGGGCAGAACTGTGGCGAACCAACTACGGCAGCGCGAACCCGTCGGTACCGGCGAGCCGGGTGCCCTGTGGCGGGTGCGGCGCGTTTCTGCACTGCACGGACGTTTCCATTCCGGGCTTCATGCCGTCCGAGGTGTTCGTGAGTCTGAACGAGGACGGGCTGCGGGCGCATTCGTGCCAGCGCTGCCTTTACCTCCAGCATTACAACACTGCCCTCAACGTGAAGGTGGACCGTGACGCGTACCTGACGATGCTGGCGCAGGTGCGGGACAAAAAGGCGCTCGCTTTGCTTATGGTGGACCTGACGGACATGCCGTGCAGCCTGTGGCACGACGTCACGCAGCTGCTGGGACCCAGGCAGCCTGTGCTCGTGGTCGCGAACAAGGTGGACCTGCTGCCCTGCGACACGCCTGGCTACCTGGCCAGGGTTAAGGCGTGTGTCGAGCAAAACCTCAAGGATGTGGGCCTCGTGCATGGTGTCAAGGGCGTCTGCCTCATCAGCGCCAAGACTGGCTATGGGGTGGAGGACCTCATCAGCCAGCTGCACAATGTGTGGCGCATGAAAGGTACCATCTTCCCCATCACTTGCCGAGTGCACAGTTGAGCTCGTTATTTGGGATGCGCTGGAGGTAATGAAAGCCAGTGGCGTCATTTCGTATGGTGAAGTACTGGGTGCATTTGCATGTGTATGTCTTTCTTAGGGCAATGATATTGAAATGTTTAGCTCTGCACTCTCTTCTCTTAGTGACTTTTTGCTCACCTGTACGCATGCCAATCTCTGCCGCGTTCTCTTCCCCGATGTTAATTCATATTTCCATTTTGTTTCATCTTACTGACACATGCTTGGATGAAGGGTCTTCCTCGGGTACTCAAATCAAAATCTGAAACAGAAACTATTAGGAGCAGAATTATTTCGGGAACCGCAACTGTAACGTTTGATGATGAAGCTAAACTCTGGAGAAATGGAGTGCTTACCAGTAAATTGTCGCAGTTGAGCACTAACAGCGTTTTGACGAACACTATATAAACGAGGTGAGGTTAGGCGGCCATGTGCATTAATCTAGAGCTGCTTACCACGAGTTCAAGTGGTGCCCAAAGACTTGTGTATGCTCAAGAGAAAGGAAGATCTTGAATGTCACACTTATGGACACTTTAGTTTTGGTGCCTGACAGAGTTAAAAGAAAAGACATTACTCAGAACAAACTTGAATGTTGGTAGGCTCATATAAACATCTTTAGGAACCCTCCGCCAGATCATACCGCTGTACTTGAAACACTCATTGGCATTCTGTGTTTTCCTATGCAAGACTTTCCTCGTGGGCTTGTCTGAGTACAGGTCACTGTACTCAAACCTCACCTTGTTGAGGACATCATTAGAAAGTCTTCCCTTATGCTTGTAGTTTGCTTGACCTATGCCTTGGGCTCGGTTAAACTACACCAACTATCCAGCTTAGCGGAGCACAGCCCAGGCCTTAGATGGTCGTTTATGGAACTGCAATGGAACATAACTAGCTACTATAGTCGGTGACAGGTTAAGAGTTTAGGGCGAGGGAAAGAAAGGCTGGGGAGGAGGTAGCAGATGGATTGCTGGAGAAAAGGAAACATCACCCTTGCTCCAGCATTCCGCCTGCTTTCTCCTCCTCAGCCTTAAAGGACACATGCAAAGGAAAAAAAAAATTTTTTTAGACAGCTTAGATGGAAAAAGGATGTCATAAAACGATTTTACAACGAAGAAACAAAATTTTTAGAGCTATATTTACGGCGCTATACGAATTTGTAGTTGGCGCTCGCGGGAGCCGCCGCTGGTCACGTGGTAGGCCCGCGCGCCGCCGCGCTGCGTCGCCGCCGCACGCTGAGCGTTGTGCGAACGCCGCTTCAACGCGTTTCTCCACGCCGCCGTCGCCGCCGCCGCACAAGTTCGTCTGCTTCGGGGCGCCGCCGCCGTCGTCTGACCGGCGCGCAGGTCTATCACGTCTGCTTGCGCTTTTTCAGGAGTTTCCTTTGGGCTCTAAAAGTTACTTATTCGTCTTAGTTTTTTGTTATACTTCAAACAAAGATGAATAAGTTACTTTTAGAGGCCATAGGAAGCTTCCGAAAGAGCGCAAGCACCACGTGATAAATAAAGACCAGTCACGTGATAAATACAGACCACTTTTCCGCGGTGCCCGCGGGCGCCAACTACAAATTCGTTTTGCGCCGTAAATATAGCTCTAAAATTTTTTTTTTCTTCGTTGTAAAATCGTTTTATGGCGTCCTTTTTCCATCTAAGCCGTTTAAAAAAAATGTTTTTTTCCTTTGCATGTGTCCTTTAAGAGTTCAGGGCGAGGGAAAGGAAGGCTGGAGAGGAGGAAACATCCCCCTCGCTCGAACATTTTACCTGCATCCTCCTCCCCAGCCTAAAGAGTTCAGGGCGAGGGAAAGGAAGGCTGGGGAGCACAAAGCAGGTGGATTGCTGGAGAGGAGGAAACATCCCCCCTAAACAAATAACAAGGAGGAAGTAGACGGAATGCCTGCTTCCTCCTCCCCAGCCTTCCTTTCTTTGTTCCTTTCTCTTGCCCTGAAGTCTTCACTGACTATAGTGTGGCCTGCTGCATTCCTGAAAGGACGCTATGTTTCTCTGATAGCAATGCCATAGTAGTTTTGAATGTGGGAAATGATCACATTGATCAATTTTTCTTTGCCGTTTCCCATCCAGTTACTAAAAATAAAATCAGACTATAAATGCTCAAAAATATTTATGATTAATGTCAACTGTACAAAATAGCAAGAAAAAAAATAATTCTGTGAAATTTAATAAATGTTGTTCTCTATATGAAACTCAAACTTTTAGTTGCGGGTTTACAAGGTATGCTGGGGTTATGATTTTGGCTATTCACGATTCCAGTGAACTATAGGGGGTGTGCTGGTCAGGCAATAGGAACAAGCCGACACTCAAGTTTCAAGTGTCGGCTTTGTGTGAAGCTTAAGCAGGTAACTGGGGAATGGGAGGGTAGAGTTCGGAAGATGAGGCCGAGCTTAAGGCAGAAGGAGAGAAGCGGGTGGGTCTCGAGGCCCAGGTTGAGGAGCTGACTAGGCAGCTTAATCATAAGAGGGAGCAGTGGGTCGACCTCGAGAAGCAGGTGGAAGAGCTGGGGGAAGTATGGAAGGCGGGTTTAGAGGAGCGTAAGAGGGAGTGTGACAGTTGGGTAGAGTGCCTGGAAGGGGTAATTCGAGCGAGTGAGTGAGAGTAGCGAGGGAAGAAAGGAGGAAGTGTCAGTTCTAGCAGGACGTGTGCTGTTAGGCTTTGCTGAAGAAGAGGAGAACGATGGGGGGTTTTTGGACATATAGAATAAACATAGCGTTTAGACAGGAGGCTACCGGGAGCGCTCTGTGTCAATAACAGCCAACAACACATGGTGTCAGAAGTTCAAGGACCCAGGACCCGAGAGGAACGGTGAGCAATGGCAAACGCCAACTCATTCCAGTGCCAACCTCCCGCGGAATTCGATTTCACCAGCCCCGATGAATGGCCTCATTGGAAGCGGCGATTCGAACGTTTCCGCGTCATCGGTGGTCTATCAGAAAAACCTGAGCCTGAACAGGTCAACGGTCTTATCTACTTTATGGGCGACAAAGCAGACAATATCCTTCTCTCGTTGAACCTGCCTCTAGCAAAGATGGAGAAGTACGAAGAAGTCCTTTCAGCTTTCGAGCGACACTTCATAGTCCGACGAAACGTCATCTACGAGAGAGCGAAGTTCCACAAAAGAAGTCAGCGGGAAGGCGAGGGCGTGGAAGAATTTATAACAGAACTTCATAGCCTCGCCAAGACTTGCGACTTCAGCGTCCTACACGAGGAGATGATTCGAGATCGCATTGTCGTCGGGGTCCTCAACCAAAAACTGTCGGAGAAATTGCAACTAGATCCGGAATTGACACTCGAGAAGGCTACAAATCTGGCTCGGCAGTCTGAAGCTGTCAAGAAACAGCAAGTTGCTCTCCACAAGTCCCCAGAAGAAAACATTGACAGAATCTTCAGAAAAGAAGCAAGTCAACAGGGAGGAAAGGAAAGAAATGGAGAAAAGAAAAGTTCTCGATCGAGTTTACCAACATCCGAGAAAGTCTGTTCAAGATGTGGCAATGAACGACATAAAACAAACAAGTGCCCTGCGATAAAAGCAACATGCAATAAATGCAGAAGACAGGGGCACTACGCACGGGTTTGCAGAAGCTCTACCACCCTGAGGGAGGTAACAACGTCTGAGACGGCATTTCTTGGCACCGTGTTCACGTCAGAGGGACAGCGATGGATAGTCAAGGTTGACGTCCGAGAAGTCTCCATAACATTCAAAGTCGACATGGGGGCCGACGTCACCGTGATTCCTGAGAAGATGTACAAAGAACTTTTCAATGATGTCTCTCTACAGAATCCCAAGAAAGTCCTCAAGGGTCCAAGTAAGAAATCCTTGACAGTTCTTGGTGTCATGAACGAGACCCTTTACTACAGGGGCAAAACATTCATGACCGATATCTACATCGTAGAAGACCTGGAACAGCCCCTTCTCTCAAGAGATGCAAGTGAACGATTAGGCATCGTACAGCGCCTTGATCAAGTTGGGGCCGTGCGAAGCTGCACAGTCGACCCAAAAAGAGAATACCCGAAGTTATTTTCTGGGTTGGGTCACGTCAAGATTCCGTACAAGATCAAACTGAGACCTGACGCTGTACCTTTCGCAATGATGACACCTCGAAGAGTGGCCATTCCTCTCCTCGGCAAGACCAAGACGAAGCTCGAAGAAATGGTAAAGATGGGAATAATCGAGCCAATCGAGGAGCCAACTGAATGGTGCTCTGGAATGGTGATCGTGAGAAAACCCAACGGAGAGGTCCGAATTTGCATAGATCTAACGGACCTCAACAAGTTTGTTGAAAGGGAAGTTCACCCACTACCTGTAGGAGAACATGTTTTCGGGCAGCTCACCGGAGCACGCTATTTTTCAAAGATCGACGCCAATTCTGGGTTTTGGCAATTTGAGCTTGCTGAGGAGTCCCAAGCTCTAACGACTTTCATCACACCCTTCGGAAGGTTCAAATTCAAGAGACTACCGTTTGGAATATCATCGGCTCCAGAATTTTTCCAAAAGAAGATGTCGCAGTTTCTGAACGGTCTCGAAGGTGTTGTATGCAACATGGACGACGTTCTCATTTATGCCAGCTCCCACAAGAGCATGATGACAGACTCCGTCTGGTTCTGGAACGTCTCCAGGCGAAAGGAATGACTTTGAATCCGGACAAGTGCGAATTTAACGTACAAAGAGTGAAGTTCCTGGGCCACATCATCGACCGCAAAGGAATTCGCCCAGACAGCGCCAAAATCGAAGCTGTCGTTGACATGAAGCCTCCCTCAAGTGTTCATGAACTAAGAAGTTTTCTGGGCATGGTCAGTTATTTGACAAAGTTCATACCGAACATGTCACATATCGCCTACCCACTCAATTCTCTTCTGAGCTCAAAGAATTAATAGGTTTTTGCTACAGAACAGCAGAGAAGCTTCGATCAGCTGAAGCACGCACTCACCACGAGTCCTG